CCCCAAAACCCCAAAACCCCAAAACCCCAAAACCCCATAGTCTTCTATATTTAAATCAGAGTCTAAAATTATAAATATAATTAATTTAAATAAACCTAACTTAATACTACGAAAATATTTTAATGACAAATTCAGCAATTACGACCATAAATGACTTTATTATCTTGTCCAAGTTAGGTATATTATATATTATCATTCTTTAAAGGTACTGGATCTTTCTCCGAAGTTTTTAAAGTTAAAAGAAGAAAGGACTGCAAAGAATACGCACTTAAAAAGGTAATAATCAATGAACTTATAATTATAACCAAATCTCAAAATGAAACCATCTTATATAGGTCTATATGTAACATTTGGATGAATACTAGTAGTAAGGAATCTTAACAGAAATAAGAATACTTGCATCTATTAAGCATGAAAATATAATTGGATATAAAGATGCATTTTTTTAAGGGAATGATTCTGCTTTATGTATTATTATGGATTTAGCTAAGGGTGGTGATCTTTTATAAAGAATAAATTTTTCAAGAAATAATATCTAACTTATTAAAGAGGAAGAAATTTGGATGATATTTTTTCATACATTATCTGGAATAGATGTACTTCACTAAAAAAAGATTGTACACAGAGATATTAAACCTGCAAATATATTTCTGGCGAATGATGGTAAAGCTTAAATTGGAGACCTAAATGTCAGTAAAATCGCAAAATAAAAATTTCTTACTACCTTCACTGGGACTCCCTTTTACATGAGTCCTGAAATATATAAAGGATTACCATATGATGAAAAAACTGATATATGGTCACTTGGCTGTATTTTATATGAATTAGCTACTCTTTAACCACCGTTTACTGCAAATAATATTATGGATCTACGATTAAAAGTAATTTAAGGAAAATACTAAAGAATACCAAATTCTTATTCTTCTAACTTAGCAGAAATAATTGATTTGATGCTAGTAGTAAATCCCTAAACAAGACTCTCTTGCTAGTAGATTTTTGAAACTTAATCATTCAAGAATGGGTGTGATAACATCTTGATAAGATAAAATTGCAACTTTCGTAATTAGTAATAAGATCGATAATTTACATAGTCAAGTTTATTAGATACTATCTTGCTGCCAAATGACTTAAATCAGTTAAGTGGAAATTTACCAAAAAGTAATTACCATTAATAGTCAGATAGAAAAAATTATCATAAATATCCCAGCTCACATAGTTTTTGCATTGAATAAAACTAAGAATAAAGTTTTCGTTAACTGAATAATTAAACTAAGCAGTTTCAATCAATAAGTGGAGAAAGGGATAAAAATTAAAAAAATCTACTAAAATAATAGCGAAATATGCAAAAATCGAGGAATTAAAATCTGAAAGAAATATTAAACGAAGATTCAACCTTGAACTTAATTAATTAAAATTATTAACAACAAAAGGATAGAAAGACAAATGTAGAATGTTACTAAAACTTCAGATATGTTAGACAAGGAGTAAATGCCTAAAAATTCTTTACGAAAAAATAAGATTATGAAAATAGAAATGGCAAAATTAAAAAATCTCATTGTTAAAGGAATGAGTCTCTTCCTCCATTATACGATTCTATTCATAATCTCAATCAAAAAAGCAATAACATAGAAATTCCAAAGCAAGAAATAATTCAAAGATAATCCAATCACACATCAATATTGGTTTCACCGTCCTAAAATAATTCAAGATTAAATAGCAAAATTAACATTAATATTAATCACAATAAATCAGGTCTTTTTAAATAAGAAAAACCTTCACTATCTCCTATTAGTAACTCAAACCAATTAGATCTAGGATTAAACTTAAAAGTAAAATTAGTGACCCCAAATGCAAAAAAAAGTAATTTAATTTTTAAAAAGATGAACAGCGAAGATTAGCAATAAGCAGGGTAGGAAAAATAATTAATAAAAATCAATCCAATAAATAAGATATATTAAAATTTTTTTCAGCAAAAATTACCAGATAATGATTAAAAAAAAGTATTAAAGTCTTGTAATAATTAAATTGTGAGAATAAGACAAAATATTGAACAAATAATTAATAAAAAAAATTAGCAAGGAAATAATTTGAATATTAATTCCCATTAAATAGAGCTCTAAAAGAGATGTCATAAGAAAAATATTTCATAACAAGTGTAGTCAAGATATCCTAAGTGATTTATAAATTTATCAGCACAGATAATATAAAATACAGATCTAAAATAGGAAGATAGAATTTGCATTTAAAAATTATTTTGAATTTAACTACAAAGCTGATAGATAATTGATGATAATTGATTTTTAAATGGTTATGGTTGAATAATTAACTATTTCTTTAAGTTGTTCTATTTCATTATCATGGGGTTTTGGGGTTTTGGGG